CCTCCTCCTCATCCTCTTCGTCCGCACACCCCGAGCACGTTTCGCGCTCTTCCGCGGTCGTGCTCGCATTCGCGACTGGCCTAAATCCTGCACAGCGCTGCCGATTCTAAGTTCTGCACAACCTCGCCTGTTTCGTGTCGGCCTCGCCCTTGGGCCGTTAGAAAACTACTCAGGCCTCGCCCTGGGGCCGTTAGAAAACTACTCAGGCCTCGCCCTGGGGCCGTTAGAGGAAAAGGAGGATCCGGAGGTGGGATGATGATGATGCTGGTGCTGATGATGGTGATGATGATGCTGATGGTGACGGTGATGGTGATGGTGATGATGATGATGGTGGTGATTGTGATGATGATGATTGTGATGATTTCGATGATTGTGATGCTGCTGATGATAATGATAATGATGATGGTGGTGCTGATGCTGATGCTGATGGTGAGGGTGATGATTGGGATGTTCATGCTGATGCTGATGCTGATGCGGATGATGCATGCTGATAAGGTTGATGGTGATGGTGATGGTGATGCTGCTGCTGTTGCTGATGATGATGATGACGATGATTGTGACGGTGACGGTGATGATGACGATGGTGATGGTGATGATGATAATGACGACGCTGATCATGATGATGATGACGACGATGATGATGATTGTGGTGATGATGCTGGTGATGGTGATGGTGATGGGTTTGGTGATGGTGATGGTGATGGTGATGGTGATGCTGCTGATGCTGATGGTGATGTTGATATTGATGCTGATGATGATGCTGATACTGATGTTGAGATTGATGCTCATGCTGAGGCTGATGATGCTACTGATGCTGATGACGATGACGTTGTCGATGACGACGATGATGACGATGCTGATGTTGATGATGATGCTGACGATGATGATGACGAGCATGCTGATGATGCTGATTAGGATGATGATTATGCTGATGAGTATGATGCTGATTATGGTGATGAGTATGATGCTGCTGATGATGATGATGATGAGTATGATGATGCTGATGATGATGTTTATGCTAATGATGATGATGATGATGATGATGATGGTGATGATGATGATGCTGATGATGATGATGATGATGATGATGATGATGCGGCTGATGATGATGATGATGATGATGATGATGATGATGATGATGATGATGATGATGATGATGATGATGATGATGATGATGGTGGTCATGGTGATGGTATTGCTGATGCTGATGCTGATGCTGATGATGATGATGATGCTGATGATGATGATGATGATGACGAGGAGGAGGAAGAGGAGGAGGAGGAGGAAGGCGAGCAGAATGGCCAGAGGCCTCTTGGATGCCTGTCGGGGTCTCTTCGGGTATCTTTTGAGAGCTTCGTGGAGTCCTCTTGGAGCGTCTTGGGGGCTCTTTTGACGGTCACGGGGGCATCTTGTAGCGTCTTGGGTGCTTTTTGGGGGAGCCCCTCGGGGGCTTCCTGGCAGCCTCTCGGGGCCCTCTTGGTGACATCTTGGGGCCATCTTGGGGCCATCTAGGAGGAAAGAAACGCAAACTCAATGATGTGTGCCTTCTCGCCGCGGCCTTCTTGGACGCCCCAAGCGGTCGCGATCCGCGCCGTCCAGGTCCAGGGGAGGGGGTGGGGGTAAGTCGGGCCTGTCCCTCTACAGAAGGAACATTTTCCACATAGTTAAAGAAATAGTATGGGGACGATGTTTCACCAGTTTTGACTATTTTCGATCAGTGTTGACTCTCTTTAAGTTTTCGTCCGAAATCCGCCCATAGTTAAAGAAATAGTATGGGGACGATGTTTCACCAGTTTTGACTATTTTCGATCAGTGTTGACTCTCTTTAAGTTTTCGTCCGAAATCCGCCCGTAGGAGGACATGCCCCACCTACGGGTAGGGGGAGAGGTAAGCCCCCTCACCGAAGGGCAAGGAGGGGGGTTGCAGGAGGAAGCGCCCTAAACCACTCACGCCCTAGAGGGCTGGTGGGATTTCCCTCGGCTCCCCGTTTCGATTGCCGATTCGGCGGCCCTGCTTGCTGGATGTGCGCCTTGCCGTGCCGACGCGTCCTGCCGGAAGTACGGCCTGTGTGGTGGTGGTGGTGCTCGCTGCCCGGTTCTCCAGTTCGTTTGCCAACTCGGCTGCAGCGGCCAGCTCGGCGGCCCTGCTCACCACCCCTGACGATGAGGAAGAGGAGGGGTAGGCGACAGCGGCAGCGGCGACGAGAACGGCGAGGGAGGAGGAGGAGGAGGACCAGTGTAAACCCAAGAGTCATCAGCGAGAAGTTCCAGGGTGCGAAGGGTGCGAACGGTGCGGGGAGGAGTAGGAGTTCTCATCCACCGTGTCCCTGAGGGAGGGACTTTAGGAGCTCCGAGTAGCAAAGTGTCCGCTGTATCATGATTTTGTGATGGTAGTTAAATCGACAGCTTGCTCTGCAGGTGCTCGATGAGTTGCTCGAACAAGTGTCAAAGCTGCTTCGCAAGGAGCGGGCTAATGAAAACGCGGTTTGAAGTGAAAAGAT